TTTGTCATTCCGCTTAATAAATTTAATTTTCCGGAATTGTCAACAAATACAACGTCAAAGTTCTCCGTAAATGATTTCTCCGAAAACTATATGATTTAAATTGATATAATTGATTTGTAACATAATTAATTGAAAAGAAATTAAATGAATTTATAAAATATCAAAGTACCTCATCAGACTCTTCGGATTTATTCATGAATTGGATAAAATCTTGGTTTGCAATGAATAATTACAATAATATCAATATAATAATATATGTTCAACGAACTAAAACGGCATTTAAATAGTAAAGTATCAACACACCCAAAAAATCCATAGTTCCCTTAATTAATTGATAAGAACTATACCCATTAGCCAATTTCTTTCCTCCGTTTACACCTCCACCATGTAATAAATAGCACATCAACATCTTCCATACAAATGCATTGAATCCACTCCACCTATCTTCATCACCACCTATACCTCTTTAATGAAGCCACACCTTAGCTAGCTTACATCGTTAAATGCAGGACAATCTTTTGAATTTTTATATAATAGGTTTATATGAGAAACGCAATACATGTCTTTAATATGGTAGGATTGTATTGCGGTGTTGACGGAAGGGAATCAGTGGATTGTTGTTTAGAAATTTGACCTAAATCATGGAAATGTTGGGGACGAATATTATTGCGGGATGGTGAGAGGCGTTAAGGAGAAAATACATCCATTGGAATACAAGGTAAACAGAAAATTCGGTATCAGAGCTATCTATATAGAATTCATGATGCTTATTAATTCAAATTATGTATGATTAACTCTGTGCAAACATAAGTGTTAATTTAAATCACACCTTTAATAAATTAGTTGGGCGATGCCTATCTCCATCAAGTGCGCCAAACTCTACTTTTACGTTCAATGTCGAATTCTTGTCTTGCAAAGCAGCGGATAATACAGCAAGATACTATGCGCGTTTATAAAAATAACAGTGATTCATGTAATCTTTTTCTTAAAATATATACTAATAGATCATTTCACGAAATTTATGTATATATTAAATGGATATATAGAATAATAACTGTTTTATTTTTAAATCGAATAAGATGTTTCACCTTTGGCATAATGACCACTACGTCTACACTAAATCCATTTCGACAGCGCACAACATTCTTTAATGGATAACTACCAACCAAGTAAAAGGCTGTCGGTTTCTTAAATCCAAATTTATATTTTACATCATCAGAAGGTTGTGGATCTGGGAATGGGATAATTATTCCATGGTTTTTCAATAGTACAGATTTTGCATCTGCGATCTATATAAGTTGATGATATCGGATATCCTATTGTTTTTAATTTCATAATTAGAATGGGCTTACCGAAAGGTCGGGTTTGTCATAAATTTTTTCGAATTTCTCTTTTAATTTATCTAATAAATTTTCTAAGCTTTCAGTTTTAGAAAAATCGATACTAACTTCTGATAAAAGTTCATCGATCTATAATGTAAAAAATATATGGCTTTAATAATAATTCCATT